ATGCTAAAGCATCAGGTCGCCGGATAGAAAAATGATTGTATTATCATAAATATAAGAAAATATAAGTTTAATGGTTCAAGTTTAAAAATAAGAGGAACAATGAGTTGAGTAATGTTTGCCACTGAGGCTTGTAAGGCAAGTACTATGCTGGTAATTCTTCTTGTTATTGTACTTTATACATATACTGTTGTACCAAACATTGAAATCCGTATAGGTTACTAGTTCAGATAATTATCGACAAATAATGACCGATCATCGAATATTTGCAAAGTGACTATGAAAATAAATATGTTTAATTATTTCACGAAACAATACAATTTTACTGTAAAAGTGTTGTACATCATTATTATGTGCTATAGAAAAAATATATAATTTAGTTGAAACAATACATGTATTCCCATCGTTACATACGATATATAAAATTAACGTTTAATTGCCTTCAGTGCGATAAACTATCAACACAAAGATAGTTTATTATTTTTGTCTATGTAACTAATACTACGATTCCTGACCCCTAACGTCATACCGTTTTGGAAACCTGCGTGGCGGAAACCGACGGAATATACCGAAATCAACGATTCAATAATGTGCCTCTTAAGCATAAAATTATTTTGGGATGTTCAACTTAAAGATCCTGTATGTTTTGTAATTGAGATTGCATACCACTCTTCATTGAATTATATATGTATGTAATTATGCAAATTTGTCAATTTTCAAACATGGAAGAATATGTAAAATATGTATTGCAAATATTTGTACATATTTAAGGTGATCATTAAATTATATGCATTCATTTCTTATTGGAAAAATTGACTTAGAATTTATAGAAAACTAAATTCTAATTACCTCCCTTTATTTACATGAAATATTAAATTCGGTAATATCTTTATAAATAATGTTTTTTGAAACTTACAATATCGATAAATATTAATTTGAGCATCATAATTTGTATATAAAACCATAAAAATAATGTGTTACAGGATCTTTAACTAAACTATTGAACTTTCTTGTCGAAAGTTTGACAGAAAGGGCCAAGTTTAACCCTTTAAAGTATGAAATTGATTAATGAAAAATAACTTATGTAATTATCTGTACAAAATTACAATGATTTGCATCTTATCAGCTACCACACATTTTGCCAACCATTAACAAGTTACCTGTATGTCTTATCAACAATCTGTTACTATTAATAGATTTTATAACGATATACAACATATAATTATATACATGTAGCCACGTGATTCTTACGAAAGACCAGGGATAATTTGTTTATAATTAGCTAAAATAATGTAATATAATAGGTCTCATAAAATATAAACAACCAAATAATTTTAAAGTGTCATTTCAAATATCATTCATGGTTTATATATTATAAAATAGCAATGCTTGACACATAGAAAAAAATAAAAGTAACCCAAATATTCAATGACTGATCTTTGGGGATACGTTATTGATTCATTTTATGAAAATTGTTATGTTGCTTTTTAAGATGTCAATATGTGCTTATTTCATTTCACTGAGCAAAGTTATCATATGTCTGAATTTTTGAGATTACTGAAAAATAATTGTTGTCTTTAATTGTTCAATGATTGATATGCTTTTATTTTCAGATTTTAAGGGCTTCTCCTACCATAGGTATAATATTAAACTGTTACAAATATAGTCGCCGGTTTCTACCGGCGACTAATAAGGTTTCATGTGAATATGTTCAGTTTAATTTCGAAAACTGATATTATATGTTTAAGTTTTAAATTAATACCACCAGTAAATATATATGCCGTTCTAAAGATTGATTTCTTTGCAAAACTTTAATTAAGATTTTTTTAACCTCAAAAAAGGCTATTACTCTGTTAAACATAGGGTTCAGAGAGTAACCACCATTTATGTACATTTGTACAATGTATTTGGTTTCAAATTAATGCCTTCAGTTTTGAAAATTGATGTTACATACTGTGTCTTGAACTTCTTAAATAGAATGGTCGTATGCAGGTTTTATGTGAATAATTGTATATACATGTACATGTATGTGCAAAAATGTATGTATAAGAATGAGACAAAAATAAAGTGAGACTATATACTAAAACTTAACAGACTCTACCGAGTTAGGTTTGCATGACATGACTGGACATGATTTTTTTCGATTAATATTCCATGAGATGTTGGTCTATCTCAATAACTTGTAGGCAAAATTTCAAATCATATGCCCTCTCTGTTTTCCCATAATAATTATTCTAATTGTTGAAAATGACCAAAAATTGAAAAGCATTACAACGCTATTCACTCAAATCAGTATGATTTTCAACATATTTCTGAGTATTTTTCTAAATTATCTTTTGCTTTTATTTCTATTTTAAGTGCCACAATTGTTCTATGGAAGAAATTCAATTTTTGTTTTCTTAGGCCTTTGGTTCTCAGTGAAGTCTTTTTGACCAAGAATTTTCCGAGCTCACAGAGGGCTAACGATCAGTCAAAATCAATGTCAGAGTAATGGTTCTTGGATAGTGACCTCTATTTTTGATAACGAAAACATGCATTAAGGTTCAAGTATGTACCGTCAGTAAGTTCACAAAGGGCCATAATTCAGTAAAAACACCACAGAACGAGTTTTGAACAAATTTTGTTTTGGAAAGTGACATCCAACTATGATACCAAAGACATTTATTTTGTTTCAGTACATGTGTTCATTAATCTTCAATGATATTACATGAGAAAAATTAAGCAAGATTATTTTGGTTGAAAATGATCCATATTCTGTCAAAAACCATACTAGAGTTATTCTATTTCGGAGGATCTCAAAAGTATTTGTGAAGATTCAGCCACATATTGTAGTGGTTCATGAAATTCGATGCTTTACAAGCTGGACGTTTAACCAAAGTGATATGCCAACACGGACACTTATGACACCAAGATGAGAAGGATAGCATCACTATTCTTCGAATAGTTTAGCTTAAAAGTGCGTCAGGCTCCAGTCTTTTTTTATACAAGTGACATGAAACCTTGCAACATTCTAAATTTTGTTTGTTCTATTTTTGGTCACACATAAATTATTTTATTAGAAAGTAATATTTTCCTCAAGAATCAGGGGTATTTAAAATACATGTGGTGGAACAGTGCACACATATTTTGCAGACTATAAAATAGGTCAAATTTTGTTTGGGAGAGAATATCATTCGAAAAGTCTTACTCTGTTATTACAGGGCCGGACCATAAAATTTCGTCGGGGTGGATTATGTTTGAAATGACCCTCCCTTCTTTTGATGTGGGAGGGGGGGGGGTCTGGGGATTTCCCCAGGCAAAAAAAAGTCATATAGGCGGGTAGTTTCCTAACCATCGTTCCACGGCTTTTCCCAACAGTATTTTAGTCATATAGGCGAGTAGTTTCCTAACCATCGTTCCTGGAGAGTTACACCAGTACTAGAATACCTTCCTCCGCGCTAAACTACCAAAGCCTCTCCCGGGGATCGAACCCACGCCAGGGAGGTAACTGGATAAGAAGTCATCGACTCTAACCCCTCGACCAGGGAGGCGGTTACAATTAGCAAGTACATGCATTTAGATAAACTAAGAGTAAGTTGCTCTTTTCTTAGGCTAATTCACTCATTTTAACTGCCTCTGCACTGACCAATGGTAATCTACATGTAGGTAGTGTATGCATGTATATTCTTAACCATTATGTCGACAAAATGGACATTGGACTGGAATAATTTTGTGACTGGAAGCTCAGCTGGGTCAACAATTGCACATTCTCATGATATCAAAATAAAATAAGTGTTCAATTCATAATTGACGTCCGTCAAAAGCTATGCATAACCTATGTGTATCCGTCATCACACAAACGCGCGCGCACGTGTACTTATTCAAACAAACTGACGTAACTAAATTTATTTAATATGTAGCATAAAATTATGTCGTACCCGACTTTTATCCAGCCAAAAGATTCCTTGTCAAGAAATCGTTTGCATGCAGCCGATGGCTATCAATCTTGTAGCATTTGTGAGCCATGACTTTTGAGTCCGTGGCCCCAAAATCAATTGGGTCATTAACTGTCCAAGAGCAATGCATCTTTGAAGTTTTAGGGGAATGAAATATGGAAGACGGATAAAACCCCACACGTCAAAACACCACACCTCAAAATTTTATGGAGTGAACAAAACCCCACACTTAAATTTTATAGAGCGGACAAAAAATCACATCTTCAATTTTATAGAGTGGACATATCACCACACTTTTTATGACTAATATGTATAGACCTTTGACTGACAAAAAAATGAGTGATATTGTTGACACTTTGAATAATTAATGTGAATTAAGATTGATGAAGGTTTACCCTTTGATTTTTATATAACAGTTTGTAATTTTAAATGCTTACCCTTTGATTTTTATTGAATAATTTGTAATATTTGTATAGTCTATTATCATTTAATCATATTGTATTGTATATTAATTACATTAAATATAACATACCATTAATTATCATGATTAAAGGAAGTATGTAAAAAAGTTAAAGTAACTATATCAAACTTTAGTATAAATAAATTCTAACAAAATCAATATCATATGAATTGTATGGTTTTATAACAAATAGAAAATGTGGGGTTATGCCCACTCTATAAAATTGAAGGTGTGGGGATTTGTCCACTCTATAAAATTCAGGTGTAGGGTTTTGTCAACTCTATAAAATTTTGAGGTGTGAGGTTTTGACATGTGGGGTTTTGACATGTGGGGTTTTGTCCTACATTCTGAAAATATATGTTCTTAAGTTATTGATCAAAGACAAATTTGGGACTGACTGACCGACACCATGCTGCAAAACAATATTCCCATCTTGAATAAACAGACAACCAATGTTAAAGTTTTTGGACGGTAACGGAATGGGAAACGACGACAAGACTGAAGCAATAGCTCGATTTTTTCCCAAGAAAAAGTCGGAAAGTGACCAAACTTACCAAAATGTTTTCATTTCTTTTATTTTATATAATGCCAATCACATAAAAATTTTGCTATTTTTGAAGTATGTCATTTATCATGATAGCCATATGATAAATTGCTGCATTCTTTAATACTGGTTCGGATAAAAAAGATTTTGCAAAATAAGAGAATGCCAATGTTATGTCACCTGATATGTACATCAAATAACCAAATAGGTTCAAATGTACGTAATCCATCATATGAAAATATTCATCAGGAATTGACAAAGCCGTTTTGAAGACGACCTGTATTAAATCCATTTCTACATGAAGTTTAAGGTTAAAGGCAGAAAAGTATAATAAATACAAACTTAGAATAAGTGGGTTACATCTAATGTTTTCTCTAGGTCCTAGTAAATAAATCTGAAGTTTTAAAGGATGTGGAATATTGTCACGTTCATGCCAATTTAAATTGAAATCCGTCAGTAAATTGTGCCGACCTATAGAAGATGGTATACTAGGAAGATATTCTTTAATTGTCCCTGATTTTAAGCAAATTGTTGAGCATGGAAATAAATTGCAAGGTGTTATGTAATATTTATCTGAGTTATCTTCTAATTTTGGTAACAGGTGATTCCTTACTTCAGAAAACATTTCGTATTCCGAGTATATTATTGCACATGTTAGAGGAACCGTCAAGTAATCAAACTCCTTTAATTTAAGTATTTTAGTGATATATTTGTCAATTTCCCAGTCTGTTTGATGACACTCTCTGAGCTCTAAAGTGGTAAATGCCAGACGTATACAGGGCGAAATTTCCTCGCCGTCTTTTCCAAAATCTTTTTCTATGTCTTTACAAACTGATTCACAATCGAAATTAAGATTAAAATTAAACGCCAATGGAATACAACATCTTTTTGAATATTCTATAAGAGAATGAGATTGTTCAAGGGAATTGTATTTTTGAAGTCTTATTATGTTATCGCTGTACAATGAAGCAATCTGACTTTCTACATCTTGGTAAAGCAAATTTGTCAATGAGTTTACTTTAATGTCTAGGTTTTCGAGAACAGCATTTATTAACTTTGTTGCTTCCTCTATTTCAGTATGACTTTTATCGAGGAAAAGATTATTTTCTGGTATGATATAATGAGGCAGAAAACCTAGTTCAACGTATTCGGCTAACTTTAGAAGACCCTTTTGCACACAATCTACCAATAACTCACTTCTCCAATCAGTTTTAGAACATTCTTCGCAAAGCCAAAGTGCAACATTTTTAATATGATAAGACGATATAATGTCTTTCAAGTACTGCTTGTTAAGAGCCTTCAGTAGTACAAAACATTTGAATTGTGTATCATTCATGCTCCATATTAGATGTCTTTCAATTTCTGTGAATGAAATTCTCCATTCCATGTCTTGGTCTCTAGAAGATTTACTGCCGACCGGAACAACATAGCAAGATACGTCTTTTTCTAATGAATCTAAAGTCACTTTGCTCGGCCAGTTGTTCGTTCTCTTACGGGTTCTCCATTTAATTGCTTCGTCAGGCCATTGGTTTATTTTTAAACATTTGACTGTGTCTACATTAGCATAAGTCGTCGCTGGTCCATTACTTGTAAATGTTGATTCTTTTTGTTTTCCAAAAGTATATCCAGATGGGAGTATATTCTCACGAAAAAGTTTACTCAAGATGAAACACGCATTATTATTCCTCTTAATTAGTTTAGAAATATCTACTTTATTCATGGATAGATCTGGAACTTTCCAAGTGGGATCTTTAAACAAGTAATTTAATTCATTATTATTGACTTTCAATCTACAATAACCCAACCGGCATTCATTTCTTGAAATATAAATAGGTGTTAGATCTCCATATTGTGGCGAATGACCATAACTACCATTGTTTTCATTGTCTTCATTAACAGTTAATCCATTCACTACTTCCATAGCATCAGTGTCACTTCCATCTAAAAGGGACCCTTCTGATACGCTTCCACTGTTAATTACTTTCCCCCAGAAACGTTTTAGGAGATATTCCATCATTAAATGACTTCTCTGGATCATGTTTCTAACACATACACTATAACCAAGTATGTTTAGTCTTCTATTTAGTTTGTTGATATCCATGGCAATTAGTATCAACTGATGTCGCAAGTTAAGATTTAATATACGAAATATATGTTTATAAAAATTGTCTTCCTTTTTTCTACCAATCTTTAATAGGCAGTTAAATATACAAACGTTAAATAATAATATAATAGGTTTTTACTTCACTTTAAATGTTGTTCGTACAACCATATCGGCTCTAAACCTGACAGATACATTAGAATAATAGCTTTAACTATATCTCTTAACCACGGTTAGCCAAAAATGTAAAATGTATTTGTGAACACGAAATATCGTCCGCGATCAGGTATTGAATACGAATCGTAAAATTTGAGAGTATATATATCAGCGTGTAATATAACGTTTACAACAATCAAAGCACAGAAGGCGCTGAATTTGTTTGGGTCTCAGAAAGGTGAAGGTTGTGAGATTATAAACCAATTTGTTTTTGTATAGTGTCACCAATGCTGTTTCTAGTGTTATAACTGTAACAGAGTTGCAGAGCAATGTATTTTAAACTCTGAGCTATATCAGTCACGGTCCCCCGTTGGGCGCCAAATGTCACAGGGTCAGAAAAATGTGTAGCCTGACAGGGACTCGAACCCGGGACCCTTGGAATACCGTACCGTGTCTCTACCGACAGAGCTATCCGGCCGCTTACACATCTTCTCCCCTAAATAGTGAACAGTTCTGAACCGTGACATAACTATAGTAAATTGGCTAAAAGACTTATTGCAACACTGATATTCAATTCAATGTTTATTTGGTTTAAACAATTAAAAAAACAACAACAACAAACAAAAAAACTATAAAATACAAAACAACAACAATAAACAAAAAAGCATGAGTAGCCTTAAGTGGGATTGGAACTCCAGACCAGACCTCTCGCTTCCTAAGCCCCTCGACCACGGGGGTGTTATAAGGTAACAGTCTGAAGAAAACCACATTATTCTAAATTAGGGTTTGTAACCCTTATTAATTTTGATATATTTTGTTCACTGTAAACCTGTTGTTTAACACTGATGTAAACAATCATGAAGCTTACTATAAGCATGTATATCTATAAAGAATAACACAATATTAGAAATCTTCGACCAATCGGGAACTATTTTTTCTTCCCCGAGAATGCTTAAAAATTAATGCGCCTGTCATTTGACAATCTTTACGGCGTTAGTGTACATAGAAAGGGAAGTAACCGCTTCGAGGAGTTTGGACTACTTTCGGTATTTGCAAATAAGCACATCAGGGTCTGGAATTTCGCTACCGTTATTCGTTTGGTCAGACGACCCAAACAAATAAAGACAAATTTGTGATTCCACAGTTTTCATTAACTATGATTGGTACCAAAATTGAACATGTTTACCTGTATATACATGTAATATAGAAAATATTGAAAATATTAGCAATAATGAACTATCATTTGTTATTGATGACCAGTTATTTTTAAAAACTGTGTTGATGGAAATAAGAGGAAAAACTATTTCTTAAAGCAAATTTAGAGAGGATGATTTAATATCACAGATTATAGTTTTTTTAGAAAAACAAAATACAAATGATGCTGGAAATGTAAGATTATGAAACTTGCAAAAAGAATTGGAAACCATAAGACAAGACAAATTAAAGGAAATTTCATTCGCTCTAGAGCAGAATGGATTGATAATGGTGAAACACCAACTAAATAATTTTGTAATGTTTACAAATATGGAAAGTTCTATGCTCCAAACGTCTTTCCTTTTTAGGAAAAAACTAATAGTGCCATTATATATGAGCAGTCAGAAATTTTAAAAGTAAGTGAAATATTTTATGAAACACTTTATACAAAAACTGATTCTACTGCTGATTTTAATATTGAAGAGTTCTTAGGCAACATAACAAGAAACAAACTGGCAATAACAAAAGTTATCATAAGAACCCTGTGACATCTCGAGAGTTATCATAAGAACTCCAGAACATTTGAAAAATCGGGTATAAATGTGTTAGCCGGTGCTTTATGTTTGCAATTTTGCATTATGTATGGCAAGGATGAAGACCAGAAATAAACAGGTCAATACTTGTGAATTGGCAAATAATTTGGAAATGTTACTCAAAACTACAAGATTTTAAGGCAGAGGCGATGAAAAATGGCTTATGAATAAGTTTTTGACACATAATACAAGAAGTAAAGAAAGCTTAATCATTAAAGTTTAATTGAGCACCTAAAACTCATTTTTGAAAGATGAAATAACCATTTTTGACGAGTGTTTTCGTAGTATATACAGATGTTTTCCGACGAACTCTATGACAGTTATCACAAGAACTCCTGAACAAGTTATCATAAGAACTCCATCCTTCGTGTAACATTTCCTCCCCACGGGAGGATGGAGTTCTTATGATAACATGATTGGAGTTCTTATGATAACTGTCACGGAGTTCCCGGAAAATGTTACGGATTTCTGTAGAAAACGTTTTCTATATATTTAGAGAACTCATGTGAAAAATGGTCAATTTTACCTTTAAATTGGGAGTTTGAGGTGCTAATTAGACTTTGATAATTAAACTGGCCTTGCATATTGTAATGTTTCAGAAGAACCTTTTCGTCCATTTCTCATCGCTTTCTTACAAAAAAAATGTGGTATTTTTGAGTAAAATTTCCAAATTACTTGCTCATTCGTACATATTGACATTATCATTTGTGATCTTCTTCGTTACTATACTTAAAATGCCTAATTACATTGAATTATAATGCAGAGTTGCAAACATAAAGCCCAGGCTAATAAATTTATACCCGATTTTTCAAATGTCACGGAGTTCTTATGATAACTCAAAATATGTCCTTCTTATGATAACTTTTGTTACTGCCAGTGTGATTCTTGTGCTTAATAAGGCATATTCAAGCGTATTTTATTATTAAATATGTGTTTAAATCATCATGAAGCGTAATACGCTCAGCCTTAACACAAAAATTGGTTATATGATGTTGGTTTTGAGCGTGTTTTAGTTCAAAAGATATTTTTCTAATTAAATTTGTGCAAATTCATATTAACATTATAAAACCGAACGAAATCACTAATTGTTTCTGTGTATTACGGAAGCCCATTGAGGCCGTTTTGAGTTAGAAGTTAGAACTAAGATGTTAGATCTTAGAACTTAGATGTTAGAACTTTGGTCTTAGCACTTAGAACTTAGAGGCTCCGTAAAGGCGGGAAAATGCCATATTAATTGCAAAATGGACTAGAAATGCTAGTTAGATTTATAAATTTTTTATTATATTTCTTTAATTTTATTTTAATTCACATTATTGCATAGATACATTATATGCTAATACATTAAAAGATTAAGTGATTTTATCTTTATATATAAGACAGTGGCGTACCTCAGCTTTATTTGAGTGTACGCCAAGTTCAGGTCTTTGGCAGAAGTGTTGCCATAGACTTATACCAAATATAGCTCTAGCTAGCTGTGCAGTGGTATACCGGGGATATAGGGGATATCTTAGCGATAAAATGTCATTTAATTGTACTACTATTGTCTTTATCACAATAACATCAAGTGCATGTATTGGATGATAGATAGATATATAGATTCTTTTATTTCCTCCAATTATGAAGAGCAGAATTGCACAAAGTCTAACGTGTACATTGTTTTAAATAGTTCAAACTTATTTACTACTAGAAAACCCGAACATAGCCAGGTGTCTCCAATTTAATCAAGATGGGCTTTATTTGCTTTTGAACAAGATTTTTTCTTTGTTATTTTTCTTTTGTTTTATGAGATATAATCAAGAAAAATATGTTTTAAAATTATCTGTATAACGATAGTACAAACCCAACACCTTAAATGTTTTAGTGTAACAATAGGTTATTGTATTTTCAGCTAAATTGAATTATCGCATGATCATTAAGGTGACGATAAGATCCCATAAAAATATTTTCAAAGTGCGTAATATTTCAATTTTAAAGAAAATAATTTTTTCTTCTCGCCAACTCGTTACCTTAAGTCGGCGAAAAAATAAAAGAATTGGGACATGGCTATATATTGTTCCCGTTGTATATTTATCTATGTTTCAAGTGTATTGATAAGACTGCGTATAATGAAGAATATATGTCATTGTTTGCAGAAGAATGCAATTTATTTCTATACTCAATCAAATAAGACAGTAAAAATAACTTATATAGAGGTTATTTGTTTGTTTGTGTGTAAGATGAAATTTAATTATCGACTGAGCTTTAAAAACAGTATTCTCACGAGTGGCGTAGCCACGAGTGAGAATACTGTTTTTAAAGTTCAAGAGATGAAATAAAATTGCATCTTAAACAAAAAAAGATTCTTTTTATTTTATGCTGAAAAACAAGTTAAAACGAAATTTCCTTGATATTAACTTTAATATTAAAATCTGTTTTCCCCACTGGTAGCCTCTATTATGTACATGTATTACAATCTCCTACGCAGTGATCTCCCCTTATCAATACAGAGATCTCTGCCATTACAAACATTTAAATATCTCAATATTTTGATACTTTATATTTTTTAGCTTTTTAATTTATTTTCATTATTTTGTATACTTTTGATAATTTTTTGATAAAATATAACGGACGTAGGTACGAAAAGTTAAAAATAAAACAGAAAGAGAAAAATGACGTTAAATTTTCTATCTAACGGTCGATTTGAATTTCGACGTTAGGTCATGTGACTTTCATCATCGTGTGACGTCTGTGAAGGCAGTGATTACAATACTGCCAAGGGAGGTAATCACTATGAGGAGTTTGCATGTATTAGTCGAATTTCTCATAAAGCACAAGAAGTTTTGGGCTGAAAAATAAGTTCGATAACCAACGTTATATGGCGTATATATTGTTCATTTTATTAAAAAATATGAATGATCGCTTGTTTTAATAATAAAAACAAACAATTCTAGTAGGAGATAAAGTTTCCTTTTAAAAGGAAAGGCTTGCACAGTTGTGCCTTCATCCCAACATATTTATTTGTTTTTATTTTTGTAAAAACGAATATTTTTGTCAAAACGATTTGAAATCTATTCTCTAGTGTATAAAACTAATAAAGAAAATAATCAATCGTAGAACTTGGAAACTTGGATTTGTTGAACGGCTGCCTTACGAACGCTGGGTTGTTTACTTATTCTTCGGGCTGATGGCTGTCATTGCTTTTCAAGTTTTCATAAAGCATACGGCAGTTATTGCTCGTAGGATACTTAAATATGCCCAAAATGTCACCAAAAACAGTTTTGCATGTGGAAGGAATGTATT